GGGGTGGTGGCGGGGGTCCAGGGGGGAGCTACGGGAGGGTTTGGCATATGAGGGGCCTCGAAGCACTTCGGGGGAACAAAACCAAGGGCGGACTCGAAGCACACAAAACACTCGTCGTCTGAAAACAGAAACATCGCAAATGACAAGATGTAATGATCGAAGCAAAACACAAACCAATATAGCATGGATAATAGCAAAAATATGACACATCGTGTCGAAGGCCCGCCAGTCTGTGGAAAGAAGTACCAACCCAAAAATGCCGACGAAAAGTACACTAAAATAAACTGGAAAGCTACAATCTTCGAAGTAGCAAACTGCGCACACTATAATACGACATTACGAAACACCACGTCTGTCATGGATAACAAAAAACTGAACTCGAACGAAATGGCCATGTACTCCCAAGAAAGTAGACTAGAATACAACATCACGAAACACTACGTTTGCGCAAAAAAGTACCCACTGGAAAGTAGACTATAATACAACCTCACGAGACACTACGTTTGTCATGGATAACAAAAAACTAAAGACCACTGAGAAAGTCACGAAAACGGAAGTCCGTAATCCGTCAACAATCGTCGTGCGCACGCGGATCTCGCTCGGACCGATGAGAACCTCGTCCGTGGGACTGACCACTGCCACCTCCTTGATCTCTCTGACGCTGGCCGCCGCGTCTGCCAGCGGAAGGCTCGGGAGTAACGGGACACTCGTTGGGGTCGTCCTCCATAATGACTCTCTTGCCTCTCACCGTCCTGCCTACACCGACGGCTGCTAGGTCATCACGTCGTCGTGACTCGCGTGCCATAGGTAGATAGTCTGTCCCTGAAGTCTCCCCCTCCTGGCGTCGATCTAAGGGCACGTGTCTCTGCTGCCTCGGTCGTGTAACAACGCCAGGCTCCTGCAAAATAATTGACGCCTCTCTCAAACCGTACGTCAAGGGCGGATCCAATGCGCTCGCTGCGGCACCGCCTGCACCCTCAGGTGTGTCGTCGCCCTGGCCACCGCTGCCACCGCCGCCACCGCCACTACCACCAAACCCTGAAGCTACAACATCTCGACGTCTCAGGCCCGTGGAAGCCCCTCTCAAACCTGGCTGACGACCGACACTCGCCGTCGTCACCCGTCTCGTCTCGCTCCATGGTCGATCAGTGTGACCGAACAACATGGTGTCCAGCAACTCCCGCGCACGCTGGGTAGTGTCTCTCCATCTACGGGCAACCGACCTCGGGATGAGACTGCCGCCCTTCCTCGGAGCTGCGGTCAAGGGTGACGAAGGGCCTTCAGCACCTCCAGATGGCGCTGCGACCGAACTGCCAGAAGGTAAGTCCCCTGCGGCCCCGCCATATGCCGCTGCGACGGGACCTCCAGAAGATAAGCCCCCTGCAGCCCCGCCAGATGGCGCTGCGACGGAACATCCAGAAGGTAAGCTGGGGCTGGCTGGCCCCCAAGATAAGTCCTGCACGTGAGGCAGCTTCCCCTCCTCCGGGACTGACCTCAAAATGCGCTGGTCGATCTCCGTCAAATTCCTCCTGTCATGCTCCTCCAACTCCTCAGCGGTCATAAAACCAAAAGGGAGGCTGCCCCGAGGCGTGGCCACATACCTAATCTCCGGCCTCTCCCGTGACGGCGCAAAAGTAGGGACCAGGGGTATGTTCGCGCCCCTGCCTACACGTCGCTCCTCAACCGGGCCACCGCCATGTGCACGATGACTATGACCCTCCAAAAATGGTGCCTGATGTGGCACCACTGGCCCCACAGCAGTGCGAACCACCAAAGTCTGTGGCATCTCCTGGCCGTCTGCGTCACGCCTCTCCAACTGTGTGCAATCTCCCCCGCTAGATGTGGACATCGGATCGGCCGAGCAGGCACCCCCACCTCGCCAGCACCAACGGCCCCAGCTACGGCCCCCTCCCCCCCAGTGGTCGCTGCTATCCCCTCCACCTGTGCCCATGGGCGAATATCATCAACGCCCACTGACTGCCCCGTCTGTATGTCCTCCAGACCCGGGGACATCTGCACGACACCCTCTACTGAACCCCTGGCAGAGGAGTCTGAGGGACGCCCGTGACCTCATGCAACGTCTCCTTAGGCCTCACCTGGACGGCAGGAGGCTGCACCGGCTCCGAACGTGGCTCCTCTGTCGGTGCCAATCCGCTGTCGTGCGTCCCCTAGCGAACATCAAGTCCCGTACTCAAAACCTCTGCTGAAGCCGCCTCTGACTGTGGCGTGTTGTGAACCTCTGCTGGAGGATCCGCGTGGGCAGTTGGCGCTACGTCAACTGACGTCGGCGCAAATGTCCCCAGCTGCCTCTATCGCTCCTCGGCCGCACGACGGGTGAGCTCCTGCGTCCTGGGGTCCCTCTGTGCCATGAGGCCAGTTCGACGACTATCAAGCCTATCCAACCTCTCTGCAAATGTCTCTCTAGGGGGTGTTCGGTCCTCATCCCCCTCTGCCCCAAACATCACCTCTGCTCGCATGGTCCGCCAAGCTAATCTGTCCCAGCAAGTCCTGCATACCCACACTGATGTCCCCACGGGACTCGCTCTCTCCTGGGGCCAGACCCACACTCTCTCCCGGGGGCATACCCAAGTCACCAAACTCACTGAAACCGGCTCTGCCCCCCGTCATCGGTATCCGCTTATCCTCAGCACTCCGAACCTCATGCGCCTCAACCGCCGCAGCAACCTCTACACCGCCTCCACCTCCGGCCAACGCACCACCATCTCTACCAGCCAACCCCTGTCTATCTCCGTCGTCCCCCTGCATCGGTGAAGAACCGGCTTCTAATCTGTCCTGCAATGGCTGTCTCGGGCCCCTCACCAATCTCTCCAATCGATCATCCCCGGCTGGCTATCGACGAAGCTGCTCAGTCGATGTGGGAAGAGCGGTGGATGATGCCGTGCCAGTACGAACACGCGCAGGACGATGGCCAATGTCCGACTCTGCCCCCCTCGAAGGTGCAGACGCAGTATCTCTCTCTCGCTCCAAGGACCGCAAGTCAGCGAACGTAGTCCTCTGACGCTGTAGAGGGCTCTCATGACGACCCCCGGACTCCTCCTCTAAATCAACTCCAATGAAAAGGTCATCTCCGCCACTCCGTCTCCGGACGTCCATTGGGTCGCTCCACGCATCACGCTCATCCGCCGCAGGAGCGGCGGTAGTGGGGCCCGCTGGCTCGTCCTCGTCACCCTTGGAATCACTGTCGTTTCGAGGGTACAGGTGCAATGTGGCAGCTCAAGTCCCGAAAACATCGCCCACATCACTCGGAGGAGCTCTCGACCCACATGGGTCTCGCTGCCAAGAACGTCTCTGCTACTCGAGCTCCTCCCGCGTCCTGCTCCCGTCCGTCCTCTTCCACGAGGGGCGAATCCCGATACCTCTCTCCACATCCAACAACGACTCATCCAAAGTCCACGGCAGTGCGAACCCGCGGCCTGCCCGCTGATGAGAGAGAAGGCGGACGTTGGCTGAGATCTCAACCAACTTCGCGACCTTCTCGAACTCAAGCCGGTGACGCTTCTTCGTCTGTACACCTTTGTGGACGGCCCAATTCCTCTCCGCAGGAGAGGAGCACGTCCACATGTACATCACACGAAGAGCGATAACCTGCAACTGGGGGGCGCACTGCCCGTTCCTCAACCACCAACACCCGGACTCGTATGTCTCCGCATCGCCCGTGCACCTCTGTGCATCTCTGTCTCCGTCCCTCCCCCCCCAAGCAATCGTCCCCCTCCGTGTGTGGAAGTCGCACAACTACGCACATGCGGTCTCGTAGTCGCGGCTCGCCACACTGAACCCTGTCTGTGACAAGATGTAAGTCTCTGCCTCCCTCACCAAGCTCGCGTCGTAGTCGCTGACCACGCCCTCGAAGTACCGCAAGTCCCAGGGGCTGCGAAAAAGAGGGTGAGCAGCGGCGTGCGCCGGCTCCAACATGTGAGCGCATCGGGCCTGCACCCTCCGCACAATGTGGTGTGCAAGATTGGTCGGAAGTGCACAAACCTCCTCTGCTACCTGGCGGGCCAGATCCTGTGCCCACTCAGCAACCCGTGACATGTGCAGCCCTCCACGGTCCAACCTGCGCAGCAAGTCGTACACGGGCTCCATGACACGGAACAAGATGGCCATGGAATCCCACCAGCTGCCATGCCGCACCTGCCACCTGACCCACCTAGCCAAGTGACGAACGGAATGGTCCCAAGGGACCATACCCCAAGTATCGCCATCCACCATCCTCTCCAATGCTGACCTCACTGCCAGCAAACGCTCCACCATCGCGAACACAAATGCGAAACGTGTCTCGCAAGGATAAATGAGGCCCATCCACCTGCTCTCCCCCCGAAAAATATGGAGAGCGGCGTCGTGCTCCTTAATGAAGCGCACCACCGCTCTCCCCCTCACGACGATGTCCTTGGACCACGCGCCCGAACAACCAATGTCTGGCAATATCTTGTTGCAGACATACACTGCGCATGGGAGCCACGTGATCCATCGATGCTCTGGCCTCTGCTCGGGCCCCTGGAGCATGTTCGCCGCGGCGACGTACGCCGACGCGGAGTCGGTGCAGATGGCGTTCACCCACTTAGGGGGAAAGTCATCGAACACCTTGATCCAACGCGCCAACACATCAGGCGCCCGATCCCGCTCACCCTCCCTGTTCATCGTCCGGACGAGCATCACCCTACGCGACCCGCCGGCAAGGAAGTTAACGATGGGTCTAGCATCGCGTGACTTCCTTCTGACATGATGGTGGCCCCCGTGACATAGAAAGGAGCCCTGACCTCCGCGAGATCAGCTCCCACATCGTCCGCCGTGTGGACAATGATCTCTATGTCTGCGATCTCATTCTCTGAAGGCCACAACACCTTCATTGGCCCCGACAAATCCCTGAAGTGTCGGACGACGTCCAACCACGGCTTGCTCCGGAAGACATTGAACGCCAGGCGCTGACTGTACACAAACCACAACCACTTCTTCTTGAACTCCATCTGCCACTTTGAAGAGAATGACTTTGTGATCGTGTTCTGTCTTATCCTCTTCTGTGCTACCGTCGGTCTGGCCCCCTCCTCTCTCTCCTTCCTCTTCCCCGCAGACGGACCCGCCTCAGCCGTATCCGCACCTGCCCGTGTACGAGCCGACACGTGCGCCGACGCAAAGTACTGGCCCTGCTGCCCCCCGGCTCGCTGACAACGCCCTTCCCTCGCTCCCTCCCTGACGACCCTGCCCGCGCAACCTCCTCGACGTTGTCGTGCACGTCGATCTGCTCCTCCGCGTCCCTCATCTCTGCCTCCCCCCCCTCGTCCCGTCGCGGATCCATCGCAGGCACCGGACTGTGAAGTTCCTCAAACTGTTGGATCTGCTGTTGGAACTTGCCGGACATCTTGTACTCACTATTGTAGTGGATGTCGACAAGTGCCTCGTCGGTCACTTCCGGACATCCCTTGCCCTGGCGGAAATGGCGCGCCGCCACGAACTGGTTGCCCTGGAACTCATGGCCGCAGAAAACACACTTCAACATGCGATTGCCGCGGAATCTCTCGCCGATACTCTGCCCCACGCGGATGTACTTGTACACGCAACATTTCTTCTGCGCCTTCAGATTCTCATCCTCCCCCCCATCCTCAAATACCCTAGCCTGACTTCGCGGCATCGTGCCCGCTCGCCGATGGGTGCACCGAAGTGGTCGGCCCTTAGCCTGTGCCACGAAGCTCCAACTCCCGGCGACCTCCCTCCCTCCCCGCACAAGGCCTCGTCGGCCCACAACCCAATGGCCCCTGACGCGCCGCCCTCCCTCCCCGCACAAGGCCTCGTCGGCCCACCACCCAGTGGCCCCTGACGCGCCGCCCACACACCCCTCACGTCCTTGGAACCCCCCAACGCCCCAGCGACAGGGCGCAGCCCGCTCAAAGGAACGCCCACAGCCCGCGTTCAGGACAACTGAACGCGCACGCACGTTCAAAAAATTTCAACGCGCGTTCAAAAAAAAAAGAACGCTCGTTCAAAAAAAAAAGAACGCGTGTTCAAATTTTAGTCCTGCTGCGTGCCGCTGCCATCTCCCGCACCGCTCCACGTCTTCGTCATCGCCGATCGCTGCCGCGCCGCTCCGTCGACGTCCGCGCACGCCTCCGCCGCGTCGCAATCGCTGTCTCTCTCTCTCTCTCTCTCTCTCTCTCTCTCTCTCTCTCTCTCTCTCTCTCTCTCTCTCTCTCTCTCTCTCTCTCTC